GGATGTAATTTCAGTTAGTACATGTATGAATATTTTACATATTTAGCATTTAACTTAATAACTGATTGTGTCCTCCAGAACATTCACACATGTTTTGAAAGAGTGAGTAAAGCAAGCAAAGTGTTTGATGTTTCTGTTCAATACTTAAAGTCTAAGACCTGCCAGTCAAAGTGCTGCTTTCAAAAACTGGCTAATTCTACATTTAGATCAACTTGATGATTTAACCTGAATCCAAATTTGCAACAAACACAGACATGGCAAACAGAAATGGTTTGTATACGGACACTATCCAGTGAGCCTACATGTGTCTGTGCAGAAGATATCTGGTCAAAGAAGCTTTTATGTTTGCAGTCTGTGTGGGCACGGCTCTTCTATTTCCATCCAGATACAGGATCTAACAAGCTTCATCAGCAAGTCTTACAGATTGATTCACAGGCTTCTCCAAGGAATTCGTTTTTCTGGTCTAGTATTAGTTTTCAACTTGCAATGAGTATGTCTCACAATTCAAATTGTGAGGCTGAGACACACTGAGACTGACACATGAGTGCTCGTGGCATCACCAGTCTAGGAGAGAGCCTAAGGATTGGCTGTAGTGCTGAGTAATCTCCACTCTCCAGGCAGTTATGCTCTAGGAAAACGAGGCACAATGTTGGCAAATGCAGGGTGATGTTGCCTTGTGATGCACTGCCAAACGGTGGTGACAGATAAGGTATAGGCAGTGCACAAAGACAACTCAAAAGCTGTGTGTAGGACAGCATATCAGATATACATGTGGCTCTCTGCAGCATCTTTCAATAGGCAGGGATGTCTTGTTTCACCTTCCTCTCGAGGAGTTTCCACAGTCATGTCTACGGTCACACTACAAGCTCCCACATCCAGTGCAGCTCTTTGCATCCAGTGGAAATCTCCTAATAACAAATCGTCTGATTCACTGCGCCTGACTTCTCAGTATATTGAAAAGGAAATAAGAGCAAAGGACACAATACTGTGACGCACTAATTAAAAACAAAACCACCAAAAACTAATCTTGAAATGATTACAATACGTCATTGGATGCAATATAGTGCTATCAGCCTAGAGCAATATCAGCAAATACAAATTAATGGAATTTGTGCAGACAGGCAGTCAACTCTTCTTTTAAGCGCATGTACACAGTGTTCAACTTTAATTGGCATTAATCTGCTCCGGCTTGGAACGCCGTATCCCGTTTACATAATACACTGATGGCACATCCCAGGTTTCTGTCCCCGAGGGCAGAAACCTGCCAAACAATTTGATCACAAATTAGCTGTCTGGGGATTTTACAGCTCAGCAGGCTACAGTCTCAGGTAATAGATGGAGTCTGGCAACACTACACACAGAAAATTGTCAGTGTTTTAAGTCAAGGGACTCGTGATTGTTCTAATCAATGCCATCGGCTTTTTCCTCATTTTTTGAAAGGCACTTCAAACAACGCTGAGATTTCCATCTCACAGCCCTGTATGGTCACAGGAAGTGCTGCATTGTGTTTAAAAGGTTTTATTTGCTAGGAGAGAAGATAAGCATGTGCATGTAAAGAGCATGTGGGTGTTTTGTATGGTTACACTCATCATACAGGTGTGGTTATGTGAATATTTGTGTGATGCTGGTTTTAGTAAGTCTTTAGTAAGTTGTGTTTTGCTTCAAAAATGTGAAGGAAAAAAAACGTTTGCACATTAAGAGAAAATCACATAAAATCACATAATCGCTGCTGTAACAGGAAGAAATGTTTTAGACTGTTATTTTCTTATGGTAATCAACCCTTCATGATGTTTTTGTGTGACACATGCTGTCTGAATACAGACATTCATCATGTTTTTAGCATCCACGTTTGTATAGTTGGTGCGATTCTCAACGGTGGTGAAGCTCAGAGATGGGTTGGAAGGAATCCATTAAAAAAACAGCAGTGGTGGGTGGAGGTGGGAGATTGGGGGTGGGGGGGCAGACTGAAGAGAGTGACAGAGACTGAAGACTTCTATTATCAGTGGGGCTTCTTCTAAATGGAACTATCTCGCAGCCTTGTCCCCTCTGCTCACTGATGTTCAGCCTTGAGCTGTCGGGAGGGGAGAGCTTTCGGCAGTTTTAATACAGACTGTAGCAGACATGCAGAAACACAATGTGGAAGTGGGGCACTAATGGTAACTAAAAGCATCCATAATGATGCACAGAAACATCTACTCAGAGTTAAAAATGACTAAAATATGTCTTAACACCAACAACTGCCTAATCTCACAGCCCTCTTACCTGAGTAAAAGAACTGTTTGTTTAAAGTCATATTCACTTTTACAGTGTGTGTACTGTATATAGTGATGACAGTGAATATGTACTATTGCATTTGATACTTCTGTCATTGACCTGTTAAGTTTTCCTTTAGAGAAAATACCTTAGAATAACCTTTTCTGTCTCCTCCTCCATCTTTTCTGCCCTTCGGTTGCATTTCCTGACAGATCAGAAAGCAGCACAGCAACACTGCAGGACAGCAGCAAAAGTGTGTTGTCTTTTTCAACAGGGCCATGCACCGTTACTTCAAAAAGATCCC